TAAATGTACCTACACCATATTCTGTTTCATTAATTTCCTAAAATTTTTGTTGAATGGGCTTGGGATAATTAGATAACCATAGCTTTCATAGTGTTAAGCATAGTTTACTGTGTGATTCAATTCATGCCATTAACCTGTGATATAAGCTTGGAAAAGTCCTTTCTCTTAATGAACAGGAAAACAGTCATCTTTTGTTTTTCTGACCAACAAAGACGTGAAACCCAAGTCAACATAAATTAGTCCTCACAGCATTGATATTTCTTCCACCCTCAGCTGTCCTTCCCTTAATGAAAGAAATTGTTCCCCAACAAGAGGAATGTAGGCTCCCTGCAGGATGCTAAAGCAGGTTTCCTCCTCTAACTGTATCGTATGAAACTAGGAGGGATCAATTTATGAGTTTTCAAAGAGAAGCAAGGTTGCTGAGTGGGCCTCACTTGGTATTGTCCCCCAATTAACAGTTGGGAAGTGGCTGAGGTAGGAGAGAAAGAAGAGGCAGGGAGGAGGCTGGATTCCCTCCTCTATTGGGAAACTCCTACTCAGAAAACATGTGATAAAGCCCTATATTTTGGTGAGTCTGGTCTTTCCTGTACCCTGAAGCAGGCAGAGGTCTCGAGGAAAGAATAACATGTAATTTTGCAATTCAGATTATTATTGGTTATGGTAGAGGTATAGAAAGGTCTAACTAAATTAAACCACATTATCCCAAATGGCAGTATTTTACACATTGAGACGCACAGCTGCCTTGTGAAGATGGTGGCCAAAGGAGTGAAGTTGCAGTCCTCACCACAACATATGTACAGTTCAGATCCCACTTCCACTTGGTCCCCTCCAAATTTGTACCTGCTGGCACTTCATTGGCTTTGGCCAAAACAGACACAATGCAGGGAGGGGAAGGAGGGAAGAGGACAATGGTCATGCAGCTGGTTTTGTTTGTTGGATGGTAGGGTTTTTTAGCAAGAAAGTGATTGTGCATACCTGGTAGGGCCTGTCCTGCCAACCAATAAAAGGCCATTGAGTTGTCATGGTTCCTCTTCACCAAAGAAGTAAGATTTGAAATGACATACCAGAGGGGTAGAGCACTCCAAGCCCAGACAGACATCAGGTGAGCTTTTGTCATCAGCTGCCATTGGGTCTGAAGCTTCTTCATAGTGAATGGGTACCATATCAAAGTTGTTCAACCCTGGAAACAAGGGGAGAAATGCTGGCAATACTTTGCCTGCTTTAAACAGTATGAAACAAGAAATTGGAAAATTAGAAAATGGACTAAAGGAAAATATCTTCAGAAACCCTACAGATCACCTATTTTGAAATCAGACAGTTACAGATAATGGAAGTCAACTTCAGAAGAAGAGAAAGTCTCTAGAGAAATGACACTGGGAGATTTAGAATGAAATAAGCTCGCTCTGAATTAAGGAAGGAATTTTCATTATTCAATACAAATTTAAAAAGACAAAGAAACTTATCAGACTAAATTAAATGAGGAGCTCACAGCATTGTAGATGACTCATTGTAATTCAAGAAATTTATAGCAGTGTAGAGGAAAACATAGAGAGCAGATGGTGCAAAGAATCCTCAGTACAAAACAGAGATCAGTGCTGAGCTCAAGAGCCAGAAACCATCCTTCAGCCTAGTACCAATGGCAAGAAAATGCTGCCATTAAAGTGATTAAAAGCCATGCTGAGCTTCTAAGCGTTTTTTTTTTTCAAATGGTTTCATTGGGTAACCAAATTAGAGCTCTCCTGCAGCTACTGGATTTGAAACAACTAATTAAAAGAACTTCCCATTGATTCATCATAGGAACGTTAGAGCAGTCTTTATAAATGGCCAAATAGATTTACCTGCCTTACAATTTTCCAGTTAAAAAGAGCTTTAACAATAAATGGATAGGATCTTTAGGGTCTAAATAACTTCTGCTCTAGTGAGCAACTGTTACAAGAAGCTGAAATTTCTCCGTAGAAAGTATTGCTTTTAGTAGCACTTCACAACAACTAAAGAAATAGAAACTGATCTAGCTTCAGTCTTTAATTACTTGGTTTTATTTGTCTGTTTCTTGGTACAATAAATTTCTGACTGGAATCCTTTTCCTAGAAGTCATTATTTCCTCTGAGATGTGAATAGATAAACTCTGTGTGACAAATATAGGATCATCCTTCTGAACATATAAGAAATGGTCAATGGTGGCTCTTTTGTGGCTTTTTGTGAAAAAGTACACTTTTTTTTTTGCCTGGTACCCTAATACAAACACAAATATGCTGCTTATATTCACAGCCTTACGTACACACCTCTGCATTTTGATTTAGAGGATGCAGTGCTGGCACAGTGCTGCAGGTGTGATGTGAGCCTTGCTTTGTGGGGTTTTCAGTTTCAAGTGTGGGTCAAGCACAGCTGGTTTGGGAAAGGGCTAAAGTAATTTTCTTCCTCTAATTTGCTACTGAGTTGTTTCCCAGGTAGAAAACTTGGGCTATTTCTTATACTGAACTTTTGAGACAATCTTCTGATGTGCCAGGACTGTGTTTTGACAAGCACTTCCTCAAATGGAAGAGTTACTGTGGTGAGCTCAGGCTGAAACCACGCATAAATTGCTGTATAAATTTGGAAATCAGAACCCAAAGAAAAATGCACAACATGCAGTACATATGAAAAGCTTATAAAGGTTAGGTCATAATTTGAAGAAGTGTAATAGCAGTAATCTATATTTTAAAAGCCTAGAAGGGCCAAGAATATAATTATATCTACGGTTTAACCTGGTGTTTTCTGTAATCAGCCTCAATCATTTCGCAAGGATTTAGTTGTCTGACCAGTGAACCCCCAAATGCAGTGAGATGAAGCCATGATATGCTGGGAAAGGTGGCCCAGCTGATGCCTGTCACCCGTGAGAAGGTGCACAGGGTATACCAGACGTATCTGAAACGTTGCTATAGCTCCCTCAGACCCGCCTGTAAATCACAGCTCGATACCAGTGAATGACTCAAAACAACAAATAGTAAACAAATTTATATGAGCAATGCCCTCAAAGGCCCTTGATCAGTGTTTAGCAAATACAGATCCATGTTTGCTAGGTCCTATTTTCCTTTAAACAGACCTATCTTTGTTCCCTGCTTGGAGTTGCTGATTCTACCCCAGAGAAATATTACATGAGCTCAGGTTCATCAATTTCAAGAGTAAAAATTTCATTTTAACTGAGGGAGTAGTTATATGTACCCAGGGATAACTTTTTGGCACAGAACCTATGAATACTTTTTATTTATTTATTTGTATTTTGTTCTATTCAGTTACTTGCATTATGCTGTTTAAGAACTTCCTGAAAAACAAGTTAATCTTTTATTCAGCATGGCAGGAATTCTTTCTTTCTCTCATTCCCTTGCATCAGACCTATGGCATAAGTACAGGTGTAGGACAGCTTCCTGTGTAAGCTCTGTTTTGTCCAATTAATACTTTTGGTAAGTTTTTTCATGTAGTGTTACATGTTGGGTTGGGGGTTTTTTTCACATCAGAGAGGACTGGACTGTCATACCACAGAATAGTTATCCACAGGGAGGATTGACAGTGGATGGAAGTTTATTTTCTCTCTCGGATAAATGCACTGTCACAGAGAAGGAGATTGTTACGTGCATGTCTCTGTGTAGAGTTTCCCTTTTTTCAAAGGAAAACAACCAGGTTTGTTTTCTTTAGTGTTTGTTTGCATTCTAGAATTTATTTATTGTTTTCATATCTTAAACTTCCTGAAATATTTACAGGAAAGAAAACTAAGGCATGAAATTTTGTGACTAGGAGCGGATTTTTATTTCATTATCCTAGGGAGACTCTTTCATTCAAAAGATAAAAACTGAAGTCATAAAAATGTGTTATTTTTAGGGCACAGCTCCTTGGAAGCTTAGAAGAGGTTAAGAAGGATTCATAATAGAGAGGAATGTGGGAGGTTGTGTAATAAACTGATATTTGTTAGTGGAAAGACAAGTATCGAAAGCTGTGAACCACTAGGAGAACTTTTTTTTTTTAATGGTAGCTGGTTTGTTCAGCTTACTCAGTTGTCTTCAAGACTGTTGAACAACATGACTGGTTTTGTTATAGCATTTGGGAAAGCTGCACATCAATACTATTAAAACAGCATTAGTGTCTGGAGAGTATTAGACCTCCTTTGACATGCTTGACCAGATTAATAAAATAAGCAAAGATCATTTCCTAGAATGCAATTTTTGCACCATTTGAAATTATTGCATAGATAACAGTGCAGTTTCTTTTCCAAAAGGGCAGAAAATCCATTTCTTAGAATTAGTTAACCCCATACTGAGACAATTTGGCTCTTGGGTGCATCCACCCATGTTGGGGCCCTTCCAAAAGCTGCTAGAATTGGTTCCTACTCTGCTGCAGTCCTGCAGTATCAATTACAGCAGGTAGGTTTGGGGGTACCTTTGCCCCCCCAGTTTGCCTGTAAGCCAATCCCTGCCACTGGCCTCCTCTAACAAGCTGGCTCTTCCATGTACACAGCTACCTCACTGACGGGCTAAAATGCCCTTTCTGCTGCCAGCCCCGCTAGCAGAAATAAGATTCATTGCATCTGTTTTAAGCTGTGTCACTTTATTTTACCCCAAAGAGTAAACTGAATGTACATTTTACACAGTTTAATTATAATATTTAATGAAGATTATACTGAATACTGTCTCTGAAATGTGGTTCTGCTCTGGACACAATGTCCTCAAAGCCAGCAGTGCAACCTGATTGCGTGCAGCTGGTGGTGGGGACTGGCACAGGCACTTCTTCCTATATTTTTGTATATAGCCATTTTTCAGAACCTGGTCTGCACTTTAACAGAGGAGTTACTAGTATGTACTTGAGCCATTAATTCCAGGTTATATGGTTTCCCTGAGAATTGCCATCTGTCATGCTTTTCTGTTTGGAGGTCACTCAAAGTTACCTCAGGTTGGTAACCTAAGACAGTAGATTGAAAGGATAAACCATGTGCTTCGTCTTTAACCCTTAGTTATCCTTTTCCCTTTCAGCACCGTCCTTGATAGGTATGGTAAGGAAGGACTGGGCTTCCCAAAACAGCATTGCCCTCTCTTGGCAAGAGCCGGACTTTCCCCATGGAGCAATTCTGGACTACGAGATCAAGTACTATGAGAAAGTAGGTCTCACTTACAGCATCACCCAAACTCAGATCCTAAAGAGCAATATGTTTCATATTTTTAATATTTAAAACAAGTACTTTAAACTTTTCACTTGATCCCACATACAATGCTATATAAGTAGATGTTTTATTTTGTACTGATTTTTTGTTGGTTTACTTCTAATTTGTTAATGACTGTCTTGTTTCACATCAGAATCAAGTAGGGCAGCAAGCAGGCGGTAAAGATACCTGTCTCATAGTAACTATATTTACAAACATGGATAAATGGATCATATGCTTGAACATATTTTGATTTATGAACTGTAAGAACTTTACATTACAGTGACACTGAAATAATACAATTGAGGTGAATATCAATGCAATTTCATTTTGCAGCATTATTTAGCAATAATCTGTGCTTAAATGATAGAGTGCACCAGCCTTGTTTAGAGGGTTACAGAAGGTTACAAGCGAGAGAAACTGTGTGACATTCATGTCAAATTTCTTGGCATTCTGTCAAAATTACATGATTTCACACAAAAGAGAGCAACATGCATTACAAGTAAAGGTAAAAGGTACATACTCAGCATGTCTTGTGAAAGCATAATTTGAAGCCTGCTTCCCCCAAAGGACAAAGCACATTTTGTCATTTCCAGTTGGCTACAGAGCCTTGTACCACTGTAAAATTTAGTGCTAACCAGTGCCTTTGTTACTAAAGACATAGACAGTAAATGTTTGGTGTCCATACCTTAAACAGTTGCTTGCTAAGTCAGTTCTTGCTGTTTCTCTGTCCCCATCTGAAAGTCACAATGGAACTAATGGATATGTGAGAAGACCACAAAGAACAGAAATATAAGCAAAGCCTTGAAAGAAAGATTTAAGGATGTTAGGCTCTGTAAATACCTGAGAATTTTCTTCCTTGGCTGCACTTCTCTATTGAGATTATGCAGCTTTAATAATGCAGAAAAGAAAGGGTAAATTGGGAAAAAAAAAATCCAAACGATTTAAATAGCACAGCTAGAGGGAGAAGACAGATTGCTTAGAGTATTTGGTAGCCAAAGCAGGGAAACCTTATTTTCCTACACTAATGGGAGTCCTTCAGGTTTTGATCCATTACCATAGTAAGCCACATTATGACTTGCACTGCCCTTGTTTTGTCTGTTGATATTAAAATAATAACCAGGTGAATTAAACAAGAGAAATAGTGAGATTTTTTTCAGTTGAATAGGAACAATTTCCAAGATCCAAACCCATTCATATGGATGTTAAATTATAAAGCTTAGATTTATAAAAATTCTTTATCAATACATTATCTGCCAATATCTGTCAATACAGAGCAACATGGCAAATAGCTCTCCTTAGAGGTCTACCTATTACTTAGTCTTGTCCATTGTGCAGCAAGACTACATACACAGGCTTCATGGCCCTTTGGTATATACAGTTTAAACCACTCCTATTTGTTTCTACCAAAAAAGAACCATTTTCTGTTTTCACCTTTTATAATGCATAAGGTGCATGTTCTAACTATAAACTTCCCTCTTAGGTGTAGGGAGATAAATGCACTGCTGGCATCTTCCAGTACTGTTGCACAGGCGTTATTTTCTTCCAAAGTCACTAACTGAACTAAGTGCTTAGCTCTTGAATACAGCTTTTATTAGTAAGTTAGAACAGGCATGATCCCTGGCAATGCTAGGTAATAGGCAGAATGAGAGACAAACAAGCCAGCAATAGCAGTAAGATCACTTATCTAAGCAGAGGAATAGTTATGTGACAGATTTTCAAGAACTCCCTTGGAGACTAGATTCTAGAGCAGAGAGGTGAATAATCTAGTACTGCAAGTCAGTCTGCTGGTTTACAGTATTAAATTAGAAAATGTGATTTTATACCACTTCATTTAAGTAGTGCTGAAGAAACCTACATTATAACTGTAACACTGGGTAAGTATAGTGGCCAAATGCAAATGGGATTTGTATATTGAAAACAAAGAGGGACAGCTCCTACCTCAAAGCCAGAAAATATTAACATGCACAATCAATTCAGTTATTAACAGTTTCAATTAATTCATTCTTCTTCACCTCTGTGTATTAAATAGCATAGTTTGTGTAATTTCAGGGGTAGATGTAGCAAGTGAAACTATAACCTTTCAGCATTCCCAGTAACCCTCAAAGAGGGAAATATCAGCATTCATGTTCTCAGCAGCATTGACAAAGTAGGGATGGTGTTGCATACCCACAAGAAATGTGAATAAAGTGAAATAATTGTCTCCTGGATTTGATATGAATTTACCACAAAGACATCCCTCTATTGGAGAGTGAAAAATGCAGGTAAAGTTCAAGAACATGTTAAGTATTAAAAGCTCAGGAATTTTATTAATGTCTTAAGGAGTCAAGAAAAAAGCAGTAAACAGTAGTCTTAGGAACTTATAAACACACTAATTAGTAAAATGGAACAGATTTTGCAGTCTTGTCCTTATCCCTTTTTACCTGTCATTTGTGTTTTAAAAAGAAAAGAGGTTTTATTCTGATATACAATACATGAAATTGAAGGTCTCCCTCAAATACACTCAGTCCCTCAAATTCAACCGACTGTATCAGTTTCTTAACTTTGTGAAACTCTGTAGAACTCTGCAAGGTTTAAAAGTTTTACAAGTATGAACTGCTTTTTCTTATAAGATTCCTTGTTGACATTTGCAAAATTGTCAAGATGACATTGGGGAGCACATTAGGGGAGCATGCTTGCTTTTAATTATAACCAGTAGGAATTCTGCAGCTCACAAATGGAAGTCGTATCTTGTCATGTGCTCCCAAGGTTTCAGGAAAGATATGTAAACTTACAGAAATCAAGTAGCCATCTATTAAACTACTGTGAGCGCTCCACAAAATGGGGCAGTTTCCAACAGTTTCATAAGTAAGACGTATTAGTGACAGTGAACCCAGAACATAGAGATGCATCTTTCCATGCATATCCAGAACAAGTTGAACATGGGAAGGAGGCTAGACTGTGCTAAGTATGCAAGGAACTCATATTTGCCCTCTTGTGCAATACAAATTGCATACAGAGAAGTATCGAAAGTTCAAGTCCTCTTACGAAAAATATTCACATCTTCTCAGAAAGACTTTACCAAATAGTAAAGAAATAAAGTAGAGAAGGAAAGTTGTACAAGGCTATCAATAAGCTACAAGTAGGGAACACATACAATAATTTAAAAATATAATAAAGCAGCTCATTAATTTCTTTGCTTTAAAGCACCTTCTTCCCTATGACCTTCATTTCTTCAGTGAATTGCTGCAAAATACTCAGAATCATAACTTAAGAGAATATTGTTTGGCTTTCTGTCAGTGTCTAAAAATGAAAATCTTCAGAGAATAACAGAACTTCGTTGTGAGCCAATTCGATATGGATTGTACAGATTTTTAGTTTCCTGTTTAGGAATACACTGTTACGTATTTATGTGGTTGGCTGACAAGAGGTCACTTTGTTCTTCAGCTTTTCAGCCAAAAATGCAGTGAACATAAGCTGACCTAGGACATAATTAGAGAGCTGACTTGGCCTGTGAGGAGAACAAAAGTTCCTAGACATTCAGTCCAAGATGCTAAGAGTTTCTGTCATGGTGAAGAGAAAAAGTTTTCCATTGCTTGAATAGTTACGTGATGTAACCAGAGAGAGAATATCATGATCCTGAAATAATACTGTATATTGAGGGCTGGTAGTTGAAATATCTTACTTCCGGTAGATTATGAATCATTCTGAAAACTATACAGTTAACAACATTTGTCACCTTAGACGATAAGTGAGTCTTTACAACAACACACAAAGAATCTTTTAAATGTTTGACCTTAGAGATCTAAGACGTACTCTGAAAAGCACTTCTTCATAGACCTTCTTTGGAGTCTTTATAGATACTAAATATTTGCAAATTATCTCTGTTGATACAGGATGTCTGCCCTATTCTGCAATCCGTTATCTATCCATACTATTTTATAATCCTTTAATGTCTTCCACAAACAGCCCAGTACTTTTAAAAGAAAAAAATCTCTCATAGGCAGTATTGTCTTTCCCTTTAAAAATCAAGCTCCAGTTATCAATATAATCTCAGTTTCCTTGCTAATAGTGATCAACTTTTCTTTTATACTTTAAAACTACCACTCAGACACTGACCAAAGCTTAAACTTTTTGAAAGATTCCAGAGCATCATAGTCTATTCACCTCTCACCAGAAAGGTCACATGTTCAAGTCAGATGGAGGAGCGGGATAAGATACAGCCTTGTTACAGCCTTGTAATGACGCTGGGTCCTTCTGTAGGAATTCCCTCACAGGAAAGGAAACACAGTATGCAGTGGATATAAACCATACCAGCTGCACTTCAGGTTGTGCAGTTGAACTGGAAGATGCTTATTCCTCCCCTTTTCCACCCAAACTCTTAATCATAAAAAATTAATGCTCCCTGACAGCCGTATTAAGCATACCAAGCTGTATACGTAGCAGCAACTGTCTAGAGTTTGTTCTCCCATACGGCCCAAATACACCAGCTGGATTATATTTTCTGTTACACACAAGACAATATATAATTAGCTGAGGAAGACTGTCTATAGAGAAGAGATTTTAATGGGATGTACCCAAGCAGTATTCCAAGGCATTGCAATGGCATCTCCAAATAGAGAATATCTTTTGGAACAGGATGTAGGATGGAGGGGCTGGCTGATGTTTCTTCTCTTTCTTGTCTTTTGATAAAATTTACACTCAAGCCAAATCCCTTTGACAAAATACTTCCTTTTGTTGGCAGACTCAATTTGCAACTCATAGGCAGTTTTCACATAAAAATTTTAACCCATCTCCATATGACATCAAGTGGACAGGATATGTAGGATATCAGATATGACTTTTCCTCCATTCCAGTATTATTTAGAGTTGAATTAATAAATAAAAGAGAGAAAATAACTGATCAGTAGAGGCAAGGGGGAAATTAGTTTTCCAATGAGATTTTAGAAAGAGATGAAGAGCTGATGAGGCAGAGAGAT